TACAAACGCTGCAGTACCTTTGTAGAACAAGCCACTCAGTTTTGAAGCTAAATTTAGTTACATGCGCCTGCAGTCATGCATTTGCAACTCGGGTAATATGCCAAAAGCAGCAGTCCGCATAGGGGGGAATGACACGGGCGAAAACTAAGTTCTTAACTGCCTCTCATGGTGTCTGAAGTCCCCACAGTTTTTTAGTATCAAGATATACCTGTGGCAGTGCAACGCTTTGCTACTTCCTGAATATGCTTCATGCAAGATCAGATTGGATAAAAGAATCTTTCCCAAGTACTTGATGTGCTGTACCTGGGACGCCGACTGGTTAGCAGTGTCCAACACCAAAAGAAAATTGAAGACTTGCCCTCTGTATGAGGTGTCGCGTCATACAGGTCAACTCATTCGTCTTCGAATTTTGAGTGAGACCGTTTAATTGGAAGAAATGGCAGATGGTGAAGAAGCTGTTCCTATAGTTATACTACCAGTCTTAGGTCGACTTCAAGAACTTTAGGAGGAATTGTCAGCAGCATATTTAATATATCTCAGAGGATAATAACTATTGATGTCAGTTTCAAACACATTGAATAACAGGGGTGACAGAATCCGATCTTGGGACTGCACTCAAACTGTGTTATGAAAACTGATTAATTATTATTTATTCAGCGATGCTTGTTTGTGAAACGTGATCTTTGTTAAGGCTGCCGAACAGCTGAACATTATCCGATTCATCGCCTCACAGGATCGACATTCGACCATCCTGGATGAACGGGTGGAGTATGACGCCTTTTACTTAGGCGTTCTTGCAAATGTGAGTGTCGGCGCTTGTCGACCGAACCGCATTATTACATCATCCGAGTTGCCGGTGTCGGTTCCCAGCGAAGTACAGCTGGTCGAGCAGATCGAGAATGCGCAGCTTAACGGTCGCTTACCGTACGAGCTGTCAGGCATGATCGGCCGTGTCACCGTCTGCGTCTCCCTTCACGGCATCAAGGTGATGCTGTTGAACGGTAACGTATTGTTCCGCCAGCCACTGCATGACATAGCTCAGGCGGTGTTGTACGAAGACGGGTACCGCCACTGGAACGTCGCCTTCAAGGTTGGCCAAGTGAGCAAGAACACCTTCAGTGTTTACCTCTTTCAGATGGCATCCCAGGTAATGAACTAGGCGTCGTGTTTCTGTGTGATGTCGTGGGTGTGTGTATTTTGTTTTATCGTAGGAAGTTGCGGAAAAACTTATTGAAAGCCTTGGCAGGTACTTTCGAGAGGTTGTCGAAAATCATGTGAAAGACGGCAAACCGAAGACTGAAAGATTTTAATTTCTCAGTCAACTCGATTAATCAGATGACTATGGCACTGAGGTACGAGCGAATTGTGCTTGTAAATTGTTGTATAACTCTGAATTTCACTGTCTGTGTCAACCATATTATTTTAAATTATGAGATTTTGTTTCGTTCACTTTGATTTAAAATATATTTAATATGAATTGTCACATGACGACTTGCCTGTATGATTTAATCAAAGCGCTATTGGGGTATTTTCATATGCATATCTCCTGCCTTCATCTTTCTCAAAGGATGTCAGTTTGTTAAACCGTCTTTGCTGCGTTTTTAGCCAAAAAGTATCACTTTCAAATAAAATATCAGAGGTCAGTTGAAATAAACTCGTGACTCGTAAGTAAATTTACTCGGTCACTCTCACCGGGCAGATCATGTCAAAAGGTAACCAAAATTTGCTTCAAATAAGGAACATCAATCACCTTGGAAAATTTAAACTTAAGAGCTAAAATCGCCTTGTGTTTCGAGTCCTCTGTGACTTACATGACGCCGTTTGATAGTATTCTCTATATGCTACTATCCAGAATGATAATTCGTCCATATCAGTTTTGAAAATTTAATAAAAACACGGTTTATTCAAACACAACGCAGACAAATTGGACAATCGGCTTTAGCCACTACCAGCGTTTCAGCTCTTGTCTCAAGGGTCTTCTTCAAGGTGTACGAGGTTGATTTCCGAAGTTGGTTTTGTGGTTAATAACTGTTGTAAAAAGTATGCTATTGGCCCAGACTGCTGGCTAAATAGTTTTTCTGCAACGTGACTCGACAAGGCTTATCTATTTCGAGCAAAGTTCATATAAAATACTCAATCTTCAGGTCATACCAATATGGAATGCAGCTGATTTTCGGTTGAATCCAAGCCAGTAATACTTCGATGGTGCTGAATTATTAGGCCTCAGCATTGTTGCTTGCATATTTAAATTTACGTCAGGTCTTTGATATAGGCGGAAGATTCAGTAATTCAATGATTCAAAGATTGCTCGGGCTTTCAGTGTGGATTCTTCATATTTCCCACACACCGAGCGCAATCATGCCA